AATTTTTCGACTCGGGTAACCTTTTCTTTTCCACCGTGCCCACTGTCCATGTTTTGCACCCGTACATCGCCGCACTCCAGACATACACCTTTAACAACCTTTTTCGAATTTCAAAATTAACCGTTCACGAACATAGAAGTGACTTCTTTTTATTGAAGGCGACTCGACCCTGCGCTATCCTCTGCTTTATATCCCTACTACTCCTTCCGTCCTGGCTTATCTGACTTCCCAGATACCTACTATCGGCCACTTCGTCTAATTTTTCGTCTCCTATCATTATATTCGCTCTTTCCCTACTTTTTCTTCCCTTGCATATCAGTATTTTTGTTTTACTTTTATTTATTTCATACAGCAGTACCGCATCCATTTTATTTAAAGCTAATCTCTAACTCCTACTTGTTAGATGTTAATACTACTATATATCATCTGCAAATCTAAGCATACTAATCTTTTGCCCTTGTGTATCTATCCCTACTGTTGTAGGTACTGTCTTTAATGAATTATAAAAATAAGAGAATATAAATTTAAGTCATAGGAGCAGATATTTTGAGACTTATTCATTGGAATCACGCTTCGTCGTCAATTTAGTTAGCCAAAAATATACTTCAGTTAACATTCGATATCAGTATCAGCGTTGATAAGCATAATGCATATAGATAAATGACGTCTCAGTATTCCATACCGTTGATAAAAGACTAACGATTAGTAACATAATATTCTTTTTCGTATGGAGGTTCGACACATCACAGCAATCACAAGCTGTGCTATAGCGTAACGTCAGATTGGAGAAGGCTTTGCGTCCGTCCCGTTTGCCTAACTTCCGGCTTGTAACAATAGCCGCGGATAACAATGGACCCCGCACTCGCTGCTACTACTACCATCCATCGATTACCAATATAACCCGATTTTCAAGTAGAACTCTTGCTTCTTGTACGACGGCCATCTAACAGTATTATCGTCTGTACAAAATCGAGCTCGACGACCATATTATTCGCCGCCGTCTTTATTGCCTTTTTTCTTTAACACGCTAACATAAAAAATGATCTTGAAAAACTATCAAAATGAGGAAAAAGTTTAGATAAAAAAAAGCTGATCTCGCTTTTTTCAATCGAATACAATATTTTAATTAATAATAAATGGGGTATTTTTGACCTATTTTGTGGGTCACACTCTTTATTGAATAATCTTCTGGTTCCTTATAAGAATCTATCATACAACTTCTTCGCTTATTTTACGTATTCGTATTAAATGAGGCTTTTTTTGGACGTTAGAATTTTCTATTTTTTTTTTGAGTGACAAACAGTAGAAAAGGAACATGAAAACTTTCACCATAANCATGTAGGTTTTAGTGCCTAACAATTTTAATTTTCTTACAATTTTTTTTAAATTTCGAGAATAGGCAGATAATATTCACATAAATAATTTCCATACAAAATCGGTACAAGAAGCGGTATTTATGTTGTAGTAAACAATATTTAAGGTAAATCTCAAACTCAGACTCTCCTGCATAAGTTGATCAGTAGTATGCGACTTGGCTTCGCTGCAATAGCGCGGGACGTTTAAGTTGGTTATCCTAAACTGTAGAACCTGCGTGTTTTCATTTCTGATTTCTTTTAACAATATTAAGATTACTATTACTATGTAGGGATATAACAGTAACGTTAACAGGGACGTGTAAATATAACGATTTATTAAAAGAAACAAGTTATAAGATAAATAAGATTAACTTAACAGAACATGGAAGTTTTACATGAATGAGCCAAGCCCTCACGACGTCTAACCTTTTCGAGGGTTGTTCTTAGACTCCCGATTCCGTCCTTTTTAAAATTGTACAGTAATCGGTACTTCTTGACCGTCCCAGAGGTCTTTTTCTTTAAGCAACGGTAATAAACTTTACGACAGGGTTGGGTCCGAGGACCTGGCTGCTACATGTACATTTTCCTAGAAATTAGTAAATAATTCTTACGACTATAACAACTTAAAATTTAAACATTAACAACTAACTTATTCTAAGGCACGTCTGCATACTACATTCNTTTTTTTCTTAAAAATTGTATCACTTTAGTAATGATATCTTTTCATCTTCATCAGTTCGAGACGATACAAACATGAGACGTTGCCAAGTCGAGTAAACCGACGCAGTAGGTCAATTTTTTCGCTTATGTGCATGAGAGGAGGCGCAAAAGAGCGTAGTGCTGATCAACTAATTCTTACAGTACAAGAAGGTAACTTATACGGGGAAATCGTATTCGTAGGTTGAGAACCTTAAAATATAATATGTGCGAAATTATCTTTGCCGAATAAATTAAACGGCTATAAACTTTTGTAAACAAGCAAGTGCCTGTTGAATTTGAGTAAGTGGGACCGTATTCCTCTCGAAATAATTGGGTTGAACAAAATTGTTATTCACGGGACCTTCGAGGCGAGGAGGAGAGGTGTGCAGAGGTAGTAAAGCGAAGTATTTTCCTTTATGTTCATTTCTCTGGCCGGGGTAGGTAACGGCTATTGGTCTGGTGCACAAGTGGGCTCGCGAGGTTCATTAAATTAGGCGGGTGGTTATTTCATTACACGAAAATCTTCCAAAAAAACGTCCAGAAACGGCTCTCGTGAGCATCCGAGCAATTACTTTCAAATTCGAGGCATAGAACCTGCAAAGCAGCGAGAGAGTCGAGAGCAGTTTTTAATGTTTGAAGAGTGAAGCCCTCACGGACGCATTCGTCCAGCCTCCACACCTCAATACCTGCACAAGGCTCTGTTCTTTTGCAGCGCCGCACGCCTTTGATCAACAGCTTCTGCAAGCATCCAGCAGCACAACTCGCTCAACGACGACGGCACAGGGCTGCAAGGAATAGTGGCTGCCTGCCTGTTTGCTGCCTGGTCGGTCGGTTAGGTTAAAGCGTTGGATGGTAAATTTTTGCTCTTCTTTTTTCTCTATTTTACTCGAAAAATTTCTGTTCTATGTAGTAAATCAGATTTCTGCATTTCTTCGTATTGCGGCTCATCTTTGAGAGGAAAACGTTCGTAAAAACGTTGTTTAATGGAACGGTACTAACGTGTATTCCACTCCATAACGATGATGGATAATTTACTTCGTCTTTATTCACAAAATCTACCTATATTTTGTGGTTTTTATTTTATTTAGTTATTTATACATCGAGAAGGATTGTTCCTAATTAATATGAAACATTTCCTTACTGTTATGATGAAGTCTCATGGAACTCGACAACAAAAAGGAGAGATGGAATAGTAAAACATTCTTTAAGATATAAAGGATTAGTTAGAGAGATAAGAAGCAGAAACAGGAGTAAAGAGTGGCATAGGAAGACTCAGATTAGACTACTGCTTCCAAATAGTTAAGAACATGGGATGTTTCGGTTTTTGGGAATGCGAAGATTGGCTCTTGATTAGGAAGGAGCAATGGTGCATGTCCAATCAGTTTTGGAATTGATGATTTTGTGATTATGTCGATGAAAACATATCCCCAGTAGTTTTCAGTTCAATAAGGAATTTTTCACTCCATGTATATCAAATCTTGCTGCAGAGTCCATGTAGGTGTCGTGTTAGAACTGTTTGAACATTTGTAGATAAGCACTCGTTTTTATTATTATTCCCACCTTAGTATAAACAAAATTAGCGGATTTAAATCAAAATTTAAGGACAAAATAGACAAGAAACAACTTAGCCCTAGATACGTTTTACACTGGCTTTCTGGTGCGAAACCTGCAAGTTCCCTTTGTAATAAGAATTCTTCAGTCGTTTACGGTACATTTAATGTAAGGAACAAGGTTAACCAATTAGGACGCGAACTCTGTTCGTAAATCAAATTAAAAATTAAACCGGATTTGCAAGAAGCATAGCCAGGCGTGCAGGCATTAGAGAATGAAGGAGATATACACAGGGAAAGAGGAAGAAGTAGAAACGGCTTTAGCAACAACCCTATAGGATACCGAACCCATCCAAACAGGGCAGTGGCAGCGTTGAAGAAGAAGAACGAGGGAGCAATGAGAACGGAACCGGAACCGGAAGGCAACGCGTGCGTGCTAATGACTCCGACCAAAGCGGAGACTCCATGCCCGTCGGCTTTCTGTTTAAGCTTGAAACTTTTCGTTTCAACGACATATTATTAGTTGCTTTTCCATATCGACGTGACTCATGTACTATCACTCTTTGTTGCGGGTTCGCTTTATTTAATGTCAAAAACTGTAAAATCGAAGTATCTTCCTTTACGCATATAAATACGAGTTCTCTATAAATCTCATTTCCAGGATACAAAGATTTCGCTTTCCCTTTATGAAAAATATGAATCTATTTGTTGACTGTAGTTATTTATTGATAAGTAGGTCGCCAATCACTATGTTAATTTTTACAAAAGTAGCTCATCGTTAATGTATTTTTCTTCATAGTTTTTACTTTTTTCCCTTCTTGTTAAATCCCCATAATAAATTCAATCAGTGTTTCACCGCTATACGTTTTTAATTTAGTTTCTAAATCTTCTGCTTAAACCGACGACTTTTATGTGACGTGAGAGTTACCGTATGGGTCGCGTTGACCAGAGGTCCTTCAAAGTTTTCAGTTTGATCATTAGTTGCGTATCTAAAAGTGTTAATGCTTTTTTTCAGACAAAAGTTGATATCAATAAAATAATTAGGGTAAGTAGGTATTGACGAATTTAGGTAAATTAAGTTGGATTTTTCAGTAAAATTAATGTTGCTTTTATAGTTCTAATGCACTGAGAAAAGTCAGGCTGTTAGATCAACACCTTTTGAACTGTTAGCTTTTTGAATGTTGAATGAAATGGTTTTGTTTTGTTTCAACAAAAGAAGAATTAAGTGAAATCGTGGTTTGGATTTGAAGAGAAAGGTTTTTTTTGTTGACTTATTTTGATTCAGTTAATCACCTTTAGTGTTTGAAAAAAATTTTACCAAAATTGTTTTTAAAGGAAAAGTTCATTGCATCATTCCAATAGTCTTTATTCATCAAGTTAAGCAATTTGTTTTTTCCTTTAATGTAACAACAAGTATTCTTTTATCATTAATTACGTTTCTGAACAACCCTTTTTTATGTTGAATGAAATAACGGAAATATTAAATTGTATTCATTTGGCGTTTGATTCAACAAACAAGAAGTTTTGCAGAAAAGGCCCAAAAATCTCCTGGAATTGACCAATAATCGCAAAGTATTCAGGGTCACACGTAATGACGTGGACAAAGAACAAAGGGAGCATTGTGCAAAAAGATGCAATATCCAAGATGCGATTTTAACGCACGTATTACCTATCAATATTTTAATAGTTACCGTGGAGTGAATGTGTCGTCGTCTACTATTTTACCGGATTTTTCATTTTGTTTGTGTGAGGGTAAGTAAATTATTGTAATAATTATAATATAAACATATTTTTCTAATCCTCTGTGCCTGTTTGTAATTGTAACTAACCAAGTGCCAATGTTAGGTATAAGTACATATGCATGATTATAAATGTGTTTTGCTGTATCTAGAAGTAGGTAACTACACAAGAATTACAAGCGTGTAAAATAGTTACAAGATCATTTTTGGTTTAATTTCATTCGCACGCCAATTTTTCTAATAAGATCTAAATCATGATATAACTTATTATTTCTTGAATTAAAACAAGTGTTGCAACAATATCCTATTTAATGTTGGTTACAATTTGCAAAGCTGATCGACTCATTTTATAAATAATAGAAATTGGGCAAAAATATCCAATTATTTTTGATAAATAATGAAATACATTTGAACTTACAATTGAACTTCCTCTTCTGACATTGCTAATAGTAAAAATTAATCTCTTGCTCATCTGATGAAATTTCATCCATTTTGGAAATCGTTAATAAACTAATATTAGATATAATACTGGATTTCCTACCTCTTTAGTGTGATTGCACATAATAAAAATAGACAATAAATACGTTGCTACATTTAAAGTAAAAGAAAATCTTTTTAAAGTAAAGTATATACATGTATAATTTATATAACAACTCTTAAGACTGTCGACTTTACGATGATTTTTGAAAAATATTGAAAATGGTAAAAATACCTCTTTTTATTTAATATTAAATACAAAATTAGTTTTACAAACTCTAAGTACTTGGGTGTTTACAGTTTCTTTATAAATTATAGATAAAAAATGACTGACATGAACACGAAGCAAATGTTAGAGGACTGGGGATTGTCAGATTACATTGAAATATTTGAAAGTAAGCATTGGCATTTACCAAATTTGTAACTGTTTAAGTTACTGCAGATTTAAACATTAATGTGCATTTTATTGCTTTTTAAGAACATGAAATTGATGTAGATGCAATGCTTGAATTAAATGAGGAAATTGTTAAGGAACTAATTCCTAAAATTGGTCCTAGACTTAAATTTTTGAAAAATCTAAGATTATATAAGGATATTAAAGACATACCAGTGATTACCGAAGAAGATATCAGTGAAACATTATCATCTGTGAGTAATTATTACAAAAACTAAAAAAATATTTTCGTTTTTATAAAAATTTCATTAATCGTTGAATTTTTCTCTTTGTTTAACCGGTTTATGGAATTTTCATTTTATTACTTATACGTTGAAAATAAATACGATTTTTTTAAAAACATCCCCTTTTAGTCAATCGCTTCATCTGCCACTGAAGAACATGAAGCAGATTTAGATATTGTAACCGTAAAATGTAACACAGAAAATGTTGAAGCAATTCATTTGGGATCAAAAGAGAATGATAATCTTGGTAAAATTTCAGAAGCATTTCTTGCTTCCTCTTCTCCAGTTGGATTCACTGCTTTTTATGGGGATAATGAGCTCAGCACATGCTTAAGAAAATCCTTCAATTTAAATCTTTACAAATTTTTAAACGGTACAAATTCTGGAAAATATGTGCTTTCAACATACAAAAGAGAAAACAAATTAACATCTAAAGCAAGAAATATGTTAGTCGATATTCTCATTAATGGACTTATGACTGAATGCAATGGGTAATAATTTAAAAGTAGTTGTTATAACGTAAGAATAAAGTTTACAACACGTCAGTTGTTTCATCATATTCATTAGTTAGATGCAGAAAACAGTATAAAAGACATTATTTTTATTTAAACATTTGATATAAAGCTGTTTGAATTTATTTTTAAGGAGGTTATTGCCAATTGATTTTCAAAATTTAGCGAATAAGATAAGTAGTCTTTTTCCAACTGAAGACCCACAAGTATATTACATACCTCGTGTAAGAAAACAAGAATCAATGAAATTAAAACCTATTAATGCTAAAGGAAAATTGGTAGATAAATATCGAAATTTGAATAGACTGTTTAAAGCGGAAAAAGTGGCAGAGGAGACGGAGGTTCACAAACAGAAGAGCAGTTCAACAATTACAGGTAGAGTTTTTTTGTTAAAATTAACTCAATTAACAATATTTCTGGGAAATACTGGGAAAGTACTCAATACATTACCGCTTTAGTACCTTGTCCTTACCAACTCGCTCACTTAAATTAAAAAATACGCAGGTGTAATTAAATAAAAAATAGTGTTTTGTGAAACGTATAGTAATTTGCAATTAGGCAGCTAATGAAATTTTCATTTTTCCTTGAATTAAACTATAGGAGAAATGGAAGAAAGTGCCAAGTGGCTTAAACATTTTATGGAACCATGGGATGCTGTTATTAAACACTGGAATACTAGCTTTGCATTACGAAGAAATACCTCAGTTACCACAGTAACGAAATTTTTGGAAGAATGGCCTATTTTAAAGCACCAGAAAGCAATTTCTTTGGTAAAAATTTCACATACATATAAAACATAGAGACGGCGATTTACGTAGAAATATCAAAAGTTAATTTCCTATATTAGTAAAGATTATATATTGCTACATTGTAAACAATGGTTTATTTAAAAAAAAAACTTCTGAAATAACCTACATAACATTGTAGATTCAAATCGACTTTGAGTGTATGTTTCCTGATAGTAACATGAATTTATATGTTAAATGGGAATCATTTTTCGAGAAATTGTTATCCATTAAGCCAGTCCATGACACCACCACAGATGAACTATTGAGTATTTTAAGTATTAATGATCTCAACGAAGGTACTTAATGCTTTTTTGGTTTCTGGTAGTGTTAAAAATTACAATTTATTTTCTTTAGATAGCAGAATTGCGATTCAGATAATGCTTCTGTCTAATTTAATTCCACCGAAAGGAAGAATCAGAAATAACAGTTTACACTGGAAACCAACTGTTGTGGAATGTCAAAAGAGTATTATTTGCCACGTAAAGGTAAATTATTTGGAATTACATTTTAATGCCAGATTTTGATATTGTTAATAATTAATTTGGTATTGCAACACCAAAATTANGAAAAATATTATAAAAAAAATTATATTGTAAAAAATGCACCGCTTTGTATTATATATACATATGTATAACTACCTTTTCAGTGTGTAACTTTTTTAAATAAACGGTTTTATTTTACATTTATTATTTTTTTTTACAATTATATTTTGCTAAAGGGCATTTTATTCAATCCAAGCATTCCCGTTTCTTCTCTTTGTTATAATAATTTATAATGGAAGAGAAGGCCCAGGGACATGTTTCAAATCGTTTAAAATAAAACTACAATAAACGGCAGTTCGAAAGGTGTATCAAATACCTATCACTAATGTGTTTAAAATTGAAATTGGCTTACGTTGTACATTTTTTCGATTAGTTACAACACATGGTTATTCTAGAGTAAATGTTTATCACGCTTCTTAATAATTACAGTAAATAGTTCAAAACTAATTGAAGGACTATACAACGTGATCCAATATCGGCTTTCATGGTAAGAGGTTCATTTCTTTTTCCTTTCTTCGCCGTGGTCCACTTGATTAGGGTTGATATGCAAACGTTTCGCCTACTATAGCTGCAATGCCTGGTCATCGGTCTCCACTGAATGAAGTTATTGAAGCTATACTTAGCGAAACATTTACAAAGCAACCATCAATTAAATCATGGAGGAATTCAGAAGATCGGAAAAAGAGACCAATTTCAATTATCTGTAAATATCCAGTGAAAATTTTTAATTGGTTTACCTTACAAAAGAAGTTGTTGCTTCAAACAACTAAGATATTTTATTCAACAGTGTAAGAGTGTCAATTCAATAAATTTTGCAGGTTGATGTAAAAAGAGGTGAGTGTGTGATTTAACGTGCTCAAAGAGTTTGTCGTACACACAGTTGAACATTGACTCAAGAAACTGTGCAGGTGTATGTAAAAATAAATACGTTTCATTTAAACTGCTCAATTTTCTACCTAATATATAGGCAAGTGTTGATTCAACAAATTCTACGCATTGATGTAAAATTAGTGCAATTTTACTTAAATTGCGGAAGTTGTCTAGACAAATACAAACTTTGTGTTGATTAAAACACAAGATACACATCTACTAAACATTCCTATTAGTTATCATAACAAATAATACTGGACCGTTTCTAAATGTTAACGGAATGCATTGAGACTATCACTAATAGGTGACCGTCAAAATTATTTGAATTAAGTATTTTTTTGTTCACTCAACAGTTTTCTTCTCTCAGTGCACGGATAACTAAATTATTTACTGATGTTGTTTGATACGCTCGAACTTTACTGAACACACACACATACTACCTACATACCGAGTACTACAAGAAAGGAAAGCTCTAACAAATTACAAATAAATTGAGAAACATCCATTCGAGTGTCACGACGACTCGAATTTCATACACAATAATATGTCCAACTAACGTACACAACTCTTTAAAACGATATCTGCTATAACGACATAGCACTCATTGCGACGAAATTTCAGAATCCCGAACAGAAATATGATGCCTGCCGTTTATAACTGCATCGGATATTACGACGAAATGAATCTGGTGAAATTTCAGTTAAATTATCTTTTATGTTCGAATATCGATATAAGAGTTATGAAATGCTATTGTCTGCAAAATTTGTAAGTTAACGTGCTTTTTCATCATCATCATCATAAGGTCGTCAGTCCTAAGACTGTTTGGACATGCACTTCCACTCCTTCCTATCCTGAGCTAATCTTCGCATTTCCCTAAAACTGGAACAACCCACATCCTTAACTATTTGCGAACAGTAATCTAATCTAGGTCTACCTCTACCCCTCCTAACTCCTGTTTCTGCCTCTAATATGTCTCTAATTAGAGCTTCATGCCTGAGAAGATGTCCTACCAACCTATCTCGCCTATTTTTTATTGACTTCCATAGAGTCCTCTGTTCTCCTATTCATTCTAATACCTTTTCATTTCTAACCTTCTCTATCCACGCTATCCTCATCGTTTATTATTTACCATAAAGAAAATTTACGAATTTGCATATAGCGACCTGCGGTTATAACGTCTAAACTTGGCGGGTTCCTTCAACGCCATTATAAACGGTATCCAAATACTTGATATGATTTAATATTTTTTTCATTGATTTTGTTCGATCTTACTCTTATCGTCGGATTATAGAGTAAATATGGTAAAGACGTTGACGATGTAGTGTTTATTTGTGGGCGAGAGCGAAATCGGGATGGGTGATAGGCGGTTATGGAGAAAAAGGAGGGCCGAGGGGAAGGTATTACACAAGAGAGCGAGAGCGAAGAAACTAATTAGCAAACCGAGTAGCGACCGTTTCGCATTTGGAAGAAATACCGCGGCGAGTTGGCGGTAACGTTTTTAAGTAAAGTAAGGAGAACGAACAGGACTTGTTTGCCTCTTTGCAACCCCCTAAAACTCCACCCCTATGTGCGTACATACCAATATAATACATACATAACAAAAAGACTCATTACACAAAAAACGCTTGAACTGATCTTCACACTGTTAGTTGGTAAAAGCTCAAAAAAGCTCACGATCCTCTGAGAGATATCTCACAGTAACAGTAAGCTATTACCCATTTTCAAAATTAATCTAATTTTCACTTGAAAACAAATATTATATAGTAATTGATGATTATTTTATAATTATGTAGGTACTTTCTGTTCTACATATAGGTACATATTGAGACCTACATTCGATTTTGGGAAGAAACAATTTGGAATTCTTTTGTTTTTCTTTTTTGAACAACGCTCGGTCGACGGAGTCCCGATGCCGTACGCGACGAGGGTTGAGGGTATGGGGGGGAGGGCGTGAGATTGAGCTTGCGACTTTAATTTGCCACTACCAATGACGACGCCGGGGACGCGGACGAGCGAGACGCGGCGACGTCCGTCCGTCGCGGAGCGACAAAGACGGCCGATCACTAATTAAGAATGCGAAAGAAAGGGGACCGATGCGATGTTTAAAATGCGTGAGTCGAGAAAGTACGTATATATATATATACATTCGAATATATGAGACAAAGGAATTAGAAGGCGACGCCGACGCCCGCCCTTCCCGTCCGCCGGAAAAGAAGAAGCAGAAGAAAATACGAAGATGATGATAAAGAAGAAGAAGAAGAAGAAATGAATTGAGTTGAAAGATGGCGGATCTGTTGAGCGTATACTTCGAGAAAGAATTTGCATGCAATTAGCTCTGGCCGGGTGAAGTAGGCGGTGGTGGTATAGAGCGGGGAAAAATTACCCCGCACGCGGGTATTCATACGAGTTGTTCAGTTCCACGGCATGCTCCGCTGCCCTTTCTAATTCGAACACGAACTTCTTATTCTTTTACGTCTACTTCGTATTCTTATTCTTTCGACGAGAAAACGATGATACATTTCAAACTAGTAACGAAAATCCCTGCAACCAACGAAAACAGTCAAAATTTCGGAATAATTTTAAAATTCGTATACTATGATACGTAACTATTTCAACTCAAGAAGCTTATTTTGTCGGAATAAAACTGTAGAGCATGTAGTTTTTTTGCAATCCTTGTCGACCTCATCATCAAGCGAAGAAGCTGACATATTACATTTAGTCCCAATTATCGTAAACACACATTACTGCAACATACGTGAAATAAACCCTTTCAAATGACACACCAGATGTTTCCTATCTCCATAAACATTTGACCGAATGAAAAGACTGTGGCATTAATGGGAGACGTTATCAGAACTGATTCTGTTCCGATGCTGGATGCTGTATGTGCATCCAGTAATGGAGATGGAACAATCTCTGAAGAAGCTCCCCACTTGTACTAGCGAAACGTTATAAATAGAAGGCAAGTCCAACCGATAAGGACTTTTAGACTCGAATCAAAACAGTATCAGTTCACCTGCTGGACGCGAAAGCCTTTAGCAATTTATCGACGTTATCAGGATAGTATTTTTAATTACCGTGGTCTAAGATTGTCGCTCCTCCTTCGGTCAGAACACTGGTAGAGTCCTTTATCCGCCATTTCACTAACAACTGTGGTCCTTTGCTGCGGCCTCAGTATGTACACCTCAAAAAATTTGAATTTTTCCTCGTAATATTGTTTCAGTTGTTACTTCTGTCTCGGAAGCTTTTTATGAATGAAAGTTTCCCCATTTTTCACACAATTTCTAATCCATGGTGTGGATTACTAAGCTAAACTTGTCCAGTTAGTTATCCACCAAAACGTACTGCTGCATATATAATTACTTTAACATCAAGCAAAAACCTTCGAATTAATTACTATCGTTGTTTTGCTAATTAATTTCTTTAGGTTTAATGTCATTAACTGGTTGTGGTTGTCGGTTGCTTGTTTCGAGAAAGCGGAAATGTATTAGATAGGTTCTGTGTCCTTCCAATAAAAAACACAAAAAACAGAAGCAAGCACAGCCCGTAAAAAATGTCATTTCAATTAATATTCTTATTAGTTCTAGATGAACATTTACCGTTAATTGATCAGTAAATAATTTAACCGAAAGTTGATTATTATTAACGCTAAAACTCACCATTTGTTTATTTCCCGCACAGGAACATTCAGAAGACATTGTGGTAACCGATTTGTACATGCAGGTTTATTATATTTAGATTTTTAGTACTGCTATTTAACTGTAGTTAAGTTCTTGATTGATGTTTTAAGATATAATGTTCTCGCATGCCTTCCTATGCTCTACCACGTACGATGCACCAACTTTCCAGTGTGTAATTAATAACTGAGAAAGAAATTGTGAAAATAACGCGCACTTTCCTTCAAAATTAATATCTTATCGTTTGGGGGTTTCTTCACGTGTTCGGTGCTCCTTGCCCTTTTTCCTCTCCATCTAACTCCCTCTGTTCCTTCTGGAGCTTTTCCGGCCCCTTCTTTCTCGGTCGTCGCCGTTACTTTTAAAATTAGAACGAAAGTGTACGCCATTTTTAATTGCCACTCGAGATCCCCAGCTAAAACTATTAAGTAAGCCGCATAGCCGGCCCAACATTACACGCGAAATGGTG